TCGGAGCAATCGGGCTATTCGCGGCGTTAATGAGGCGGCGCCGGTGGCGCTCCGGCCGCCTCCGGCGGGCGGACCGGCCTTCGGCCGGTATACTGCGAATTTAATTTTTAATTATCGCTCAGACTTATTCGCTGCCTAGAGTTTGATTTTGAATTTGAATTTGAAATACATGACACTTGACGAAGTGGTGCATGATATTTTATGTGAACCATTGCAAATGCTCATTAGAGAGTGTGTTTATGAAGAATTGCAACCTCCTGAAAAGACACAAGCATGGCTATAAATATATGCTTCATAATTCGAAATCATTCACTCCAAATTCTGAAATCCTCTTCCATATAATTCCAACATTTTCCTTGCATTCGAAACTTCATCAGTCTTGTGCAGTTTCGAGAAAAAGGCTGACTTATCCTGGGTATTCAGGCCGTTCCAACTCTAAGACAATCTGAGAGTGTGCTTGAAATACTTTTAAGGAAAGTGATTTCGTTCACGATTCAGTCTGGATCCATTCGACATAGAAGAATTATCTAACAGTTATAATAGTATCTTTATTACTATTATTATTATTATAGGTCATTAATATCTTTAACCCTTATCTTAAAGTAACTCTTCAAATTACATTATAGAGTTTATCGGGTTGAAATCCACTCCATTTTCTCCATTACTATAGTTTTTATGTATATAAAATTAACTAAATATTAATTATATGTCACATGTCTTAGAAATGTGTGTTATTTACACACAAAACTATAGTAATTGAGAAAATGGAGGGACAAAGAAATTGAGTGGATCCCAACCCGAGTTCACCATGCAAGAACACCTAGGTTGATAGATATATTCTAACATTGAAACTTGAAAGGAATTCTAACATAAAAACATAACCGTTTAAAATAATATTTTACCAATATAAATATCTTCATTTAAAGATAACAAAATATTTTTGAATTAGATAAAATCAAAATAATTCATTGAAATTTTCTTATAATTAATTTTGAAAAATTAGTAGATCCAAATATATTCAGTTTAAACTTACGTGTAGTAATTTTGGATGAAATATCATTATTTCTCACTAAGACATTTTCAAGCAAATAAGTTGAAATATCTTTCTAGGCTTATATAGACATAAAAATCAAAACAACGAAGTTTCTGAAAGTTGAAGAAGAAGTTGACCACTGATCCAATCTTGATTATACTGCATCCCACTTAAAAGGATGAAATTTTCTTCAATGTCTTGGATAATGGCTTAGGTGTGTTCTAATACATAATGTTCAAGTAGTTGCACATACATCCCAACAATTGAAGACACATGAAAAGAATTATCCAACTCATTATCTTTAACCAGCCGCAATTATCTTCGCACTTATAGTGTAGAGACATTATCTTTATAGAGTATACGTTGAATGTTCAGTGACCTTAAAAGTCTAAAGTAGTTGTTTGATCAGAAAGAACTGAACATGCATTATAGAATCTAGATGGACTTTATGAAGGATTATGATTTTAAATTGAAGTATCACCTCGGGAAGGTCAATAAGGTAGCATATGCATTGTGTAGAAAAGAAATGCATACGACATAATTATTGGTGCTATAACATAACTTACTAGAGAAATTATGAGACCTCAACCTAAACTTCTCATGGACCTAAGAAGGGGTGTTGATAAGTCAAATAAATACTCTATGCGACCTCAGAGATAGGGTAAGACTAACTCAACTGACAGATGAGGATCTACAAGCTAAAGTCCGTCAATTGGGTTTTAATAAATCACCAGATGGAATCTTTTTATTTAATAGAAACATGTAAATTTTGAACGATTCAGAGCTGAAACACGTGATTCTAGAAGAAGTTCATAAAAGTGATTTCACAATTCACCTTGGTTCTTTCAAGATGTATCATGACTTGAATGGAAACTTCTGGTGGCCTTAAATGAAAAGAGAAATAGCAAAGTTCGTGGCTAAATGCGTCGTGTGTCAATAAGTGAAGATAGAACACCAAAGACCAGGCGGTATCTTGCAAACCTTAGAGATGCCTGAATGGAAGTGGGAAAGTATATCGATGGACTTCATAATGGGACTACCCAAACTCCATGGGTCATGACTCAATTCGGGTGATAGCGGATAGGTTGACCAAGTCATCTCACTTTTTATCAGTTAAAACCACCACATAAATAATGTTTGTTGATTCAATCAATTTTATCATATTCTTCTAAGGGAACGAAGGTTGCAAGAAATCTCATGGCTTTATGATGCATCTTATAATTTTCTTTTGAGAATCATCCCTAGAAAAATAATAAACATTTTTTCCATCAACATTTTTTGGATGTTCATAACCATCTAACACTAGCTTCCATATATCTAAATCTTTGGAGATAGAGAAACTATAAAGTTTATCATTGTAATATTCAAATCTTTCTCCATCAAACATAAGAGGTTCGATTGAGTAAGACGTGTTAGTTCCTTCATTGTTATCAATTATATGATAATCCATGTCTTTCTCAAATATTTATTTATTTATTTCGCAGTTAAGTGTTTAATTAAGAAACCTGACTCTAAAACCAATTGAAGTGATAAAAATACAAGAAAAGGGGGGGACATCGAATTATGTTGAATGATTAACTTTTTTTGGTTTGTTTCAAATGAAACTCAGATCAATAATAAATGCTGAATGATAAATATATATAAGGAAAATATATTAAACACATAAAGTTTCTCTTGGTTCAACCCCTTAACTCAAATATATGTTCAATCCTATCATATTGATAAGTTTTCACTATAATCAAACATATTACAAGATCACTAAGATACTTTATTTTCCAACTCATCGATATCTTATATTTCTCAAACACAGAAAATTGATTCATACTAGATCTTGTAAGCTCATATTAGGTCTTGTCGTGCATATCATTGTACCTTTTGTGCGTAAAGCATGTACCAATGTGCTTTGTGTATTATTGCTTAGTTTTCTCAAATTTGAACGTTGTTGAAAGGGAAAACAACTAAGTTGTTATTTATAAGAATAAGTTTTGCTATAGGTTTATAGAGGAACAAACTCATAGATGATAACAACTTGATAATCTTCTATATGATCAAAACCGTTTACTTTTAAGCTTGAAGTTGATTAGTGAATCTTGATGAGTGTTTGAATACATATGAATAGATGATAACGTTGAGCATGTACCGCCATATACCATAACAAATATTCAAAGATGTGTGTCTAGAGAAAATCTCCCCTGGTACTCGCTACAATGAGGAATTCGTCCACCAAATGAATATCCCTCCATAAAGGGTTAGTTATTTTGGCATTACCATTGGTTTCCTCACCCTTTAATGACTTGTCTATATCATGCACTTGTTTTGCTTCATATACATTAAGGCTGTCTTAGACATTTATCACAAATTTCTTGAAGAAACCATTGTGTCATATGCAAGTGGATATCCTCTAATTTGTAAACGTCCATAGTTTTTGAATGAGTTGGATATATAACAGAAACATTGAAGGATGTTTCCCATGAATTGTTTACAAATGATCCGATAGGACCTTTCTCTTAAAGTGTTATTGATGGCAATGGTATGATACAATAATCTTCGAGCTTTGTTCAGCTGTAGTGGTGTCTTCAATCACTTTGTTGATAAAGTAAATGTTAACAGTAAATGTGAGATTTATGTTTATAATAATATCTAACTTATAGAAAATTGGTCTTTAGCCTTTATAATAGCCTTTATATAACATATTAAAAAGAAAAATATTTTATACATAATAACATGTAATTTTTTTTAGAAGAAATACAAAAAATAACACTTTTAACTATTATAAATCAAGAAGATACTAACATTGACATTGTAATTTGAATATACTTTGTTGAGCTATGAATTAGATTTTTATAAATTAAATTAATTATTGATATAACGATTAAATTTTATTTTTTAAAATTGAATAAATGAGATGTTCGATTTAAAATTGCTTATTTACAATTCAATATTTCTATACAACCACCAACTTAATTGATTTAGTAAAAAAAAAAGCTGATCAATTTAGTGACTCATTTATAACATCTCTTTTGTCAAAATTTGGAACATTATTCTCATTTTAATATCAACTTTTAATCAATGTTTTAAAAATTAGATTGGAGATCGAATTAGTGAAACTTACCGTTTAAAGTTTAATTGGTTCAACCGGTTAAATCTATGGTCGAACCGTTTATTAAGTAAATTAATAATATGAAACAAAATTTAATAGATATGTCACGCATAATTATATGTTTATAATTTAATAAAATAAATATTTCAAAAATTCATTATAAATTTAATTTAATACAACAATATCGATAGTACATGTAATAATATAATATAGTTCTACACTTCATTTCAACATTTATTTAAGAATAATTTGACCAAATTAATGAATTATAATAAAATAAGTTAAACTAATTCAAACAAAAATTAAAATAATTGAATATAATCACTAAAATAAAATTTAAATAATTAATAATATCTAAATTAAATAAAATAGAATACCAAAAATAAGTAATATAATATACTTCATTAAACAAAAAAATGAATTTGAGTTGAACTCGGACAAAGAAATTAAAAAATGAATTTGAGTTGAACTCGGATAAAAAAATCTTAATTGACAACCATAAATAATATTGACTTCAACGTAATCAATATTGAGTTAGACGTCATGACGATGTCTGAAAGAGATGACGTGATGATAATAAAATATAATTAAATAAAAATTATAATAGAGTAACAAAATTTAAAAATTTGTATGATTATAAAAGAATATAAATTTTTTTTTGTGATCGGAGAATGTAATACTAAAACATTGATAGTTACTTGTTTAAGAAAAACAACTAGTGACTATGAATAAATGAGATCAAGCGAAACAACAACATAGTCAAAATCCTTTTGACTCCATAAGCATTTGTGTCGAGGAAATAAACTAAAAAAACAGAGTCTAAGCAAATTCAGTTCCAACAATCGACAATCTAGGAAACTCTCAACAATGAAGCGAAAGAAATGGTCACAACTAGAAGAACAAACCCTACTGTCGAAATACTCCGAGCTTCTCCGTTCCGGCACATTAACCAAACTCAAAACTCGCGAGAAAAAGTTCAAACCTATCGCCGATCATCTCAACGCCGTTCACCACCTTCACGACTCCACCACCTTCCCTTTCAAATGGTCCTGGCGCGACGTTTCCATCAAAGTCCAGAACATGCGTCATCAGTACGTCGGGGTTAAGCACAAGATCCGTATCTCATCTCAATCTCATCAGTTTAATTGGAATGACGGTGTTAATCATTGGGAGAATTTTCTCAATTATAAACAAGTTTTCGGTGATGTTCAGATTGATCGTAAACCTAATTGTAATAATAATGATAATAATGATGATAATTCTGCTTCTTGTGATTTAGGGTTTGGAGTTGATGAGTCTGATGACGGTGATGACGACGACGGTGGCGATGATGATGATGATGATGGGGATGTTAGTGAAGAAGAATTAAAGAGATTGGGATTGGGGGTTTTGAAATTGAGGGAGGTTATGGTGAAGAGGGAAGAGAAGAGGAGGGAGAGAGAGTTTTTGAAGGAGAAAGGAGAGTGGAAGAGGGATGAATTTGAGTTTAAGAGAAGGGAATGTTGTTGTAGTGAGAGGGAATTGGAGATGGAGATGGAGGAGAGGGAATTGAGATGGGGGAAAAAGGAGGTTGAGAAGAGGGTGAAGAGGTTGGAGAAGGAGCTTGAGGAGGAGAAGAGGAGGAGGAAGAAGGTGGAGGAGAAGATGGAGGAAGAGGAGATGGAGTGGAGGGAGAGGATGGTGGCTATGCAGATCGAGCACGAGAAACAGATGATGCAGATGCATGCGGAGGCTTGTCATAATCAAATGCAAGTTCTTGGAGTTATGGCGAGAATACTTTGTCAGTTCTTTGGTTCAGGAAATGATGGATTGGGTGGTGCTGGATTAGGGACGTTGCCTCCTCAGGTGTTGCATCATGGTGGTGGTTTAGAGAGTGTGAAACCTGATGCCAGTTCGCCTTCGGAGTTTATGTAGAAGTTTGTTCCTTTTCATTTGAATTCTATTTTGTGAGTACAGGCTGTTCTTTTTATTTCTGTTTAAAGTTTTACATTCTCAATCTCAAGAGCTGAAATGATTGATTTTTTCTTCTTCTTTTGTATCAGTTAGATGATTCTGAAATTCAGTTGTTGTATCATATTTTGTGAATTTTTGAAGAAAATGTCCGATTTCGGGGAAGGCAGACAAGATGAAACTTGAGTGCTGGTTGGCCCCAACACGGCAACAGGGAACAGCTGAGCATGTATAACAATTTTCTAAGCTTTAAGAGTAGTATTGAATTTGTAGCCCGCTGAAATGATGTAAAAAGTAATCTATTAGTACTTGGAAATATAAATTATGTTAAAATTTCAATAATTTATTTAGGTGTTCAGGCTTTCAGCTTTTGATTTCACTGGTTAGTGTCTAAGTTGGTTTATATTATCCTCTTATTATTTAGCTGGTGATTATTATGGTCTTGTAGACATTGCATTAGAGTTATGATTGTGTTCAGCATGTGTTCAAGCCTTCTGAGGATTAATACTAGAAAAGAGCAGAGGAGTAACTTAGTAAGCAAGTCCGAGAACATGTCTTCTCATACATTTTGAAATTTGTAATTAGCTGGTGAGTAATCATAAGATGTGAATGCAAAAATGTCTTTCTGCATTGTTGTTTTTTGCCGTGTGGGGTTGTCTAAAGGTTTTGTTTGTCTTCTATAGCTCTTTTTCTTGATGTCATTGTTTTATTTTAGAAGGCTTAGGTCTACTTCTACCTCAAAAGCCAGCTCAAGAGGCAAATGATGTTCAAACATTAAGGATTAATTTAGCCGTATTTGTAGTCGATGTGGGATCTCAACAATGATGTACATGCATCAAATGGTGTAATACTCATGTAAAGAACTGTATGCTGTTACCATATTAATATAGATAGATTCATAACATATTTTTGATCCTTTCTTTCGTCAAAAGCGGGCACAACTTCTAGGCTTTATGGTCAGCATTAGATTGTTTAAATTAGTTTGAAGAATATAGTTTTATTTGCTCTTTTGTGCTGGACTAAAATACTTACCATTATGACAATGTCTTCTACTTCCAAGCATATTTCTTATTCATCTAACTTGTTCATTCTACTGTGGTGTGGAAGTTTCTTGATTCTTTTCCTACAAGTTTGTTGAAAATGCCCTGAAATGAGGGAATTGTTCCCAAAACAAATGTGATATTCACTTACCATCAGTTATTATATTAAGTTAGAAAATTTTTGTTTGATCACATGAGAAGGTTCTCAAAACCCAGCCTAGTCTATTTTGAAGTTAACTGGACTGGGTTTAATTCTGCAAATTAGAGTTTCTGGATGGGAAGAAAACGAATGAGGTTTGCAAAGAAAAATGGAAGTCTGAATAAAAGGGACCAAATTGAGTTCTATTTTTCCTGCCTTGTGTGAGCTTGGTTAGTCTGAGCAAGTGCAAGGGGAAGATATGATGATACACATACACAGTGACCTATGTTCTTCCCATTTTTCAGCCAAACTCCATTTGTTTTTATTCGCAGTTGCTTTTGAAGTTTAACCGAGGATTAAATTTGGTTGATATGATCAAGAACATTTTGAGAAATTAAGCAATTTGAGTTAGTTGTTGAAGTTAGGATTTCTTGTATGCAAAATCTGGCATTTTCTGCAATGATGACATATTGAAGCGAGGGAACATACTTATTGAACACACTACTTTTTTATTTTATAAAATATAGTTTAGGTGAGTTGATTTAGGTTTTAAAATTGTGGTCGGATCAAAATTGAGAAGTAAACAAAAATGTTTCAATGTGCTTTAATAACATTTCTAATTTTAGAGTAGGAAGTTAGATACTTCCAGGACCATACCTCATTGTCTCCACCCATTTCATCAACGTTCCTAATCAAAAGGTAGATACTCCAAATCTATGTGATTGATTGGTGCACCAGAAGTTCAAAACATGGATGTAAGAGGAAAGTGTCCAGGAAAGAAGAATTAGGCCATGGTGTGTACCACTCTTATTCTAGAAATAAGGTGTATGATTTTTCACATGTTTATTGGTATATGAAAATCATACTGTATATTCTACACATATATAATATCTGTATTATTTGAGGTTGAGACATGTTGGAAATTGAATTCAACAATATTTGGCTGGTTTGGTACAAATGTTGAATGGAGAATTTCTCCTAAAAGTTGTCTTGTTCTATGGTTGACCGGTTGAAGAGACTGTGATTCATGTGAATCTGTCAACAATAACAGCCTCAATGAGTCTTCCCAGCATACCGAATCTGCTATATTTGGTATTTAAATCTACTTGAAGAGAGTAAATTGCAAGACTGTTAGATATTACTGTATATCAACAACCAACCAGTCCAAATAGCATATTCAATCACAGTACCTTTTTTTTGGATTGAGAAAGAAAATTAAACTAACTTTTCCAGTGTATTTAAATATCCGGTATAGCGCCGGTATATTGGTATTAGATATCCGAATATTTCAATTCTGCGATACTCAAGCTACCGGTATTTTTCTGATATACTGGTATATCGGTTATGAATTGAATACCGGAACCAATATTATTATTACATGTGAACATAGTTTGTGAATAATTTTTGGAGTTAAAGCAATATTACATTTTAGTAGTGGTGTGTGATTAACCTTTCTTAACAATAATATGATTTATTTAGAGGAAAAAGGAGACATGTATATTTGACTAGTTAAACATGAGATTACCACAATTAATTGTTGCAATAGAAGTGGTCCAGTACATTTACAGATTGAGTTAGTCCCTATCATTTTCCCTACATCATCACAATCAAATAGGTAGCAGCAGCAAGCAGAAAATTGTAATTGACAAGAGTTTCCATGTCATAGTTGCCAATACTGCATGCATGGAAACTGCACCAAATCAAGTAATAGAACATAGCCACCTTATTCCTCTTTCTTTATGTAAATATTTTCTCGAGTCTTTTACTATACGGATGAAAATGGTTGTTGTTAACGGATAGAATAATTCAAAACTCATACACAAAAGACAAAAAAAACAATGGCTACCCCCTCAAATCACTTCAAGCTATAAAATATATAATTCAAAACTCATTGCTGCCTCTTCCACCATATTGTTGTCATCGACGTCGCATCACCTCATCCACTACCACAGTACCACTATCTTGTTGAAAAAATTGACAGTACTGAAAATGTTTTTTTCTCTTTGATTTCTCACTTGAGTTTTCAAAACATATTGTAATATTTTTCTATCTTGAATTTAAATCGATAATAATGTCAATTTAATTACCAGCCACCTTATTGCTCTCTCAAAAGCTTGAATCACTCTTCAACAAATTTGATTAAGTCCAAGCAATGCTTGAACTTTGATCATGGAAATGATTTGATGAACACATCTACCAAGTTTTCGCCTAAGGGAATTTTATGAACTTGAATTTCCTTTGACTGTATCATCTCCCTTATAAAATGCAAACTGATGTCAATGTGTTTTGTCCTTACATAATAAATTTAATGATTAATCAAGTGAATGACAATTTGACTATCACAATTTAACTTAACACGTATATTCATGAGTAAATCCTAACTCCTTAATAATCTATTTCATCCATATGACTTCCTTGACCTCTTTAACAAGGGCAATATTTTCGCTTATAAATAACATAACAATTATTGATGATTGACCTTCCAATTTATAATTGTACCAAACATTGTAAGCACAAAACCTGATAGGAATTTTTTAGTGTCAACTTTACCTGCATAATTTGAATCTACAAAATCCTCCAAAACGTCTTTCTCTTGAGTTAACTTTTCGTACTTTAAACCACCCTTTAGACAACCATTCAAATACCTTAACGCCCATTTCAAAACTTTCCAATGCACTTACCCATGAATTGCCATAAACCAATTTACCATGCTGACTACATATGCTAAGTCAAATATAATACAAACCATATCATGCATAATGCTTTAAATCTCACTTGCATAAGGAGTACTCTCCATTATCTTCTCCTCTTCCTTGGTTTGAGGAAATTTCTTAATAAAAAACTTTGTGAGATGTCCCAAAGAAGTATTGATGATTTTACCATCTTGCATTCTAAACCGCTCCATCATTTTCTTCAAGTAACTAGATTAAGATAAGAACAATTCCCTCTTCTTGTGGTTTCTCATGATATCCATACCCATGATTCTTTTAGCTTCGCCAAGCAAGATCTTTTACCTCAAATTCACTATTCAAGATCTCTCTGAGCTTACCAATCTTTATATTGCTAGAGCTTTTCATTAAAATACACAAGGAAGTAACACATGCCTTTATCACCCCTCTTCAATATGTATACTGTCTTAATCACTTCTTACAAAACTATGCTTAAATATAAATCAACCAAACTGACGTTACCTTGAGCTTTATTTCAATCCATACAAAGATTTCTTTGATAAACATACATTTGTCTTATCTTCTACAAAAATCCATCTTGTTTGATATAGATTATCTCTTCATGGTCTCCATGTAAGAAACCTGTTTTGATGTCCATCCACTTGACGTTTATATTTGAAGGTCTTTAGTTATGAGTCTTGCACCCAATAGTATTATATATTTGAGGTGATACAATCTCCCTCATAACTCTATCATGAGATAACTGATAATTTTGAGACACTATGTTTCACTTCAATAGTACTAGAAACATGAGTCTTAACCACCTCATTGTCTCTAGTCTCACTAGTAAGGACCTCCACCTTAAAATGAGTCTCTTTCACCATAGTTTCTTATTCTTTAATCTTCAGATCTTTACACCTCATCTTCATACGAGTTTAATCAAAACTCACATCCCTACTTATAATATATTTTAAGCCTTTAGGACCCATATTCCACAATTTATAATCTTTCACCCTTAAGGATACTGTGAGACATTGGATCGAACTCTAGTGTGGTCGAAGTCTGTTTGCAAGTAATGCGTGTTGTAGTCGAAGTTTGTTCTAACATGCATGAGTA